CTTTTGTATCATATGAGCAACAGGAACATGGCCAGTTGTGAAGATTTTTTTCTACATTCATTCCATGGCTGCAAGCACACTGCTACATGTAGCCTAACATTAGGGGAAACATGTCATCTTGGTTGCCGATGTTGTTCATTTCTGCTCCGATTTCGAATCACATTTCTGCTGGAACATGTCCAGTTTTGAAGATTTTGGTTTAGCAGCTTTTGTTTGTAATTTTTCACAGTAGGAGGTGCTACTGTACTACCTTGTGTTTTTTCCCCTGGCTGTGAGTATACTGCTTAATGTAGCTACATGCTAACATCAGGTAATCATGTAATTTTGGTTGCAGATGTTGTAAATTTGTCCCTTATTTCATGTTCTCCCTGAATATGTCCAGTTGTTAAAATTTTGTCCTAGAAGCTTTTATTCATGATTTTTCACAATAGAAAGTTCCTCTATACTCCATTACAGTCATTCCCTGGCTGCAAGTACACTGCTACGTGTAGCTACATGCTAACTTTAGGGAAACATGTAATCTTGGTTGCCAATCATATTCCTGCTAGAACATGTCCAGTTTTGAACATTTTGGTTAAGCAGCTTTTAAAGTGCCAATATATGCTGTTACAGTCATTCCCCTGACTGCAGGTATACTACTACATGTAGCTACATGCTAACCTAAGCAAAACCAGTAATCATGGTCGCTCATATTATTTTTCCTTGATTTCAGATCCTGTTCCTGTTGCATGTCTGGTTGTGAAGAATTTGGTTTAGAAACCCCAAAGACAAGTATGAACCTGCATAACAGCATAATAGGTCCTCTTTAATACCACCATGTGTTGCTTTGCAGTGTTAAGAAACAAAACAACGTAAGCAAATTCCCTTAAACACAGGCTTTTTAAATGTTTTTACTGCTTTATAAATGATTATACTGATATGTGCCATGTCTTTAGTACCTTTATCACCAGCGCTCAATAATTCAAGTATACTGTAATTCACATCTTAATGACTATGCAAGTACATCCAGGGTCGATACATCACTTGTTCTCCCAGTTCCTCATCCCTTGACTGCATATGCAGCATGTCATCACTGGTGATCACAATTAAGTTTGACAGCCCACATAGGACAGGAAATGTAATGGCCTAAATAGCATTGCATCAGCTTGAAATTGTGTCATTAGCTTTGGTGCTGTGCAGAAAATTGTTTTACAAAGTGGGAGCATGAAGGGCTTGACCTATATCTGTTTAAAAAAACAGACCAAAGAGAGCAAGAGCACGGCTGTGCCAGAGAGGGAGACACAGAGATACTAAAGTAATAGAGAACAAGTGAGGCTGATGGTTGCGATTATGGGGGTTTCCCACCTCTGACTTGAGAGCCGGTCTATGTGCTGCTCTCCTGCTGAGACTCACCACCCTCTCCTCCCACACCCCGTGGCCCTGACTGTTATTCTGCAGCGCTATGGAGAATTGAAACTGGCAGCAGGAGGAGAAAAAAAATCTCCCTCACTTTGCTTCTCTCCGTCTCTTACCTGATACCAGTGCGACAAAAATCCAATTTAGCTGTGCTGCTATCTGATATCTGGTAGAGCAGAAATACATCAAACTACTAGCCTACTGTTGGTGAAGAGATAGCAGCTGAAAGCAAAAGGAAGCATCACAACTAACGCTTAACCCAATGTTTAGTGGCTTACGATACTATTGGGCCACAGACACAAAGTGATTGAAGAAAAAATCCCATAGAAAGAGACTGTCCTTTTTTTTTGCCTTGTTGGTGGCGTCCCAGATATGAGCTCAAAGGACAGTATTTGTTGAACTCACATTCGCCAGGTGGCAGGAAACATGACTCAGAATGAAAAACATTGCTCTTCTGTATCTGGAGGTGTAAATGGGCGACTGTTTGTTTACAAGTTAGCTCTATCAACTTAAAGGGAAATTCTATATTCCTGTGTTTTTATGTCTTAGTGACTAACGGGAACAACAATTTTTGAAACTGGTCCAGTATTAAGGGACAGGGCTTCAGCGGCTAAACAGGCTGCAATGTAATCACTTGAGGAAATTCTGCATCGTCTGCTAAAAGTGCTTATTTTTTGCCACTGACAGGTTCAGATTATTATTCTAAGTGTCTGACAACATTATGGCAAGGATCCCTGCTAAGATAGACCTTTTTTGTTAAAAAGAAAACTTTTTGCTTAACCATAAACAGCTCAAAAATCAATATTGCTAAACCCACCAGACTCCCTTTAAATAAACAGCAATTTAGTCATCACAAGACAGACTTCATTCAAAGTCTACAGACACAAACTAAAGTCACAAAAGCCATCTTGGATCATCTTTCCGCTGTTCTAACAATCACTAACTGTGGTTTGGTTGAAATTGGTTTTGGGGCTGTTTCTGGGGAAACAAAAAGGATCTCAATCTTTAACAAAAGGTCTATCTCTGTAGATCGTTTTTGTTTAACCAGAAACAGTCCAAAAATCGCTTTCAGCAAACCCACCAGACTCCATTCAAATAAACAGTCATTTTAGCGTGTATAGAGCCAGTATGTTTTCAGATCTGAGTTAATTAAGGGTTAATTTCAACCAAACCAGAGCTGGTGATTGTTGGAACAGCGGAAAGACAAACCAAAACTGTTTTGAGAGTTTTCTTTTGTTTCTGTTGACTTTGAAAGAATTGTGTTTTCTTTGTAGATATCTGCTTTTTGCAGATGATGTGGTTCTGTTGGCTTCATTACACCTGAACCTCCAGCAGACACTGGGGTGGTTTGAAGCCAAGTGTGAAGCGGTAGGGATGAGAGTAAGCACCTCCAAACCTGAGGCCATGGTCCTCTGCTGGAAACTGGTGGATTGCCTCCTTCAGGTTGGGAGGGAGTTACTGCCTAAAGTTATGGAGTTCAAGTATCTCAGGGTCTTGTTCATGAGTGAGGGCAGAATGGAGCGTGAGATGGATCGGTGTGTTTGGTGCGGCTTGTGTAGTGCGCTGGACCGTCGTGGTGAAGAGAGATCATGGATACAAGCGACCGAAATGAGTTTCTTCCGTGGGGTGTCTGGGCTCAGCCTTAGAGATAGGGTAAGGAGCTCGGACATTCGGAGGGAGCTCGGAGTAGAGTCGCTGCTCCTTCGCATCTAAAGGGGTCAGTTGAGGTGGTTTGGGCATCTGATCAGGATGCCTCCTGGGTGCCTCCTGCTGGAGGTGTTTTGGGCACGTCTAACTAGTAGGAGGCCCCGGGACAGACCCAGAACACGCTGGGGGGATTACATATCTCATCTGGCTTGGGAACGCCTTGGGGTCCTCAAGGAGGAGCTGGAAAGCGTTGCTAGGGAGAGGGACGTCTAGGGTGCTTTGCTTGGCCTGCTGTCCCTGCGACCTAGCCCCGGATAAGCGGATGAAAATGGATGGATATTTGTAACTTAATTACAACTAGTCAACTTTGACAATTGACTTATATTACGACTTAATTACAGATATCCGTGATCCATTTCTGATGTATTTTGCCATAGTTGGGGTCTATTCTGCAATGATGATCCACTCACTGTACATTATCCCTTATGTAGCAAACTTATGCTAGGTTTTGCCGTGTAACTAACTTTACTAAATCAGCTTTGATACTGTGACATTACATTTTATCATCATTCTATCATACTCACTATAGTGGCTGTCATTCAGCAAAAGTTACAAAGGTTTAATTTAATGATGTCTTTCATTAATTGTTTTGTCTTTCAGCTAATTACAGTGGTTGCTGCTTGCTTGCTCCACCTCAGCTCCTCTCTGCTGCCCATAGTTTTCTATTGTCTTTGTGATACAATTGCATGGTATCCTCTCTGTCCTCCGGGCATTATTAGTCCGAACTGAACTGATGTCTGCGAGTTTATCCTTGTATTTGACTGACAACACATTTGTAGCGCCAAGAGCGAAGGCTTCATTTCAACATTGGATGGAGGCACATTTGAGCATCTGGTGAATTTCTCTGCATCGAATTTCAGCATTTTCAGCCTGAATTTATTCTGTAAATGTCTTCAATTTTGTCAAAACCAAAGTCCTCTCCTACTGTTGGGGTTTTGAGATGGACAAAGGCACATGTACTAAATCTAAATATTGAGAGGGATGTGTCCCCACCCCCCTTTGAAATTACCTCCCTGTCTTTATGAGGCCCTCTCTCGGACTCCTTTAGACCCTGCATGTCCCCTGACCTCCCCCCTGAAAACCCACTGTGCCAGGACGCTGCAGCAGCAAACTTAAATGTCATCTTCTCTCAGCACGGTGTACCTACGTGCACTGACAGGAGCTAAGCTGTAACCCTGCAAAATTAAACAGTGAAACAATAAATCATTCATAGGTACTTGACATGTGTTCACAAGCAGGTCATTAGTCATCCAACAGTTGATCCCAACCCACTTCAGAAGTGTGCGAAACGGTCCTGTCACCGCCTATGGAGTTACAACGGGAACCACTTTAACTCCCATGGGTGAAGCACATCTATGCCAGCATTCACACGCTCCTGTGTGTTCCTGATCCTCTCTCTGTCTCTCCAACAGACACAAAGACTTGTTTGTACAACTTAAAAATAAATGAAAAATGGTACCAAGGGGAGTATTTACAGGATGTGTGTTATGATGGAAAGGTGAATTAGTAATATAATGGCATTTTTGCAAAGAGGAAATGACAATACCTAAAATAAATAGCACCAAGCATGTCTGACTTTGTCCACTGATCAATGGGACTGGATATAACTCCTGATAAATGAGGCAGCCACTTAAGCTGATGACATTCAGAGGGACATTATGGGCCACTTCTGTCATCAATAGTGCAAAATGTAACTGTGAAGGCAGCAGGAAGCATAATGAGGACTGATTTTAATGACACCCCAGGAGTGGAAGGAGCCATAAATTAAAGGATTATTATAGACAGAGACACAATATGTTACAGCACCGTTATAAATCACTACTGGGGACCAAACACAGGAATATTGTGCCCCTGTTTTACTTGTGCCCCTAAAGCCCCATGTCCCATCTCCCACTGACCTGCTGGTAGTTCTCTTCCTCGGGCTGGAAGCTGTTGTCAATGGGCTGAAACCTCAGGTTGATATGAGGAAAATTGTGAAGCCAGTAAGTCCACCAGGGCGCAATGTAATCCACCCGAGCCGAAGACATCCCTGCCCCCGAGAGGAGAAAAAAAAAAGTTGGGCTGCAGCCTGAAATTAGCCTCCCTTTACTCAACCGGGCTCCGGAGATCTTAATCCCGTCTCCTTTCACAACAAAGACAGTGATAAACGCATGCTCGTGTGTGGAAACACACTCTGAGCCACACGTGAGAGGAGCCGTGGACAGAAGAAGAAGAAGAAGTCCTGCAGAGACAGCAGTGTTGCTGCAAAGTCAGATCCCACAGAGCTTTTCTTTATTTACACACAAGAAGGAATAATCACACTGCGCCCATGTCCCCGTGTCTGCGAGGACCCTCGGCTCCTTTCCGACCGACAGCTGCTCCAAACCCACACAACACAGTCACCGGCGGGGGCGCGCACCGAGTCAGGACACGGGGAGGGACAGGAGCGCGCACAGACGCCCCTTTAGGGAGTTTAAGAATATCCCCCGCTTACATATCTGATATAAAACTGGTTTAAAACACACACATTCAATGCGTAGTGACATAATTTCCATCTTGATATAATATTTAATTGTTTTTTAATTGTTTCATTAGTCTCTCTGCGGTATCAGCTGCTGCACTGACACCTAGTGGTCAACTGAGGCAATTACAAACACCTTAACCTACAGTAGAGGTGCAACCTGTCCTAATGGGGGACGTCCGAGTCCAACACCACTAACTTCAAAGCCAAGACAGCTCCTGGAAACACTGTAATTAAGATATATACTTTGTCATGATTTAATTTGTTAATAGCCCACCTGTTTGAGACTAAATTTTGCTCGAATTTTACCCGATGATGCTCCATTTTTGTCCAGGAAAATATTTTTTTGACCATGCTTTAAGTCACCTTTTCTTGTCTTTAGATGCCCCGTCTATAACTGTTAGTCAAATCAAACCAGAGTGCTGCATGTCTGCTCGATTTCATCCCAGTAACTGATCAGGTCATCTATTCCTAATCCCTGTTCTTACTGGTTTTATTTTAAGTATTCAAACAGGATTGTGCACATGATTGATGCAGCACCTGCGTGAGAACTTTAAGCTTGTTGTGTTGTACTTCCTCCACAATATACTTCACCACCAGGCTCAGGGACAGCTTCACCCCACAGGCCATGAGACTGTTTAACTCTTGAGCTCATCACTTTAATATATCGTCACTTTATTTACTTTTACTGTTTTGCAAACGATCTACATCCCTGAGTATACATTAGTTATTCATCATTACACATATACATGTACTACACTCCAGTTTATTCATTGGTTACCACAGATTTATATTTTAACTTGAACTCTTTTTACATTCTCAATTTGTACTTTATGCATTATCTACGGTAGCCTTAACTCAAACCTGTATTTACATTGCTGACAACTGCTTCTCTGTATTTACTGCGCATGTGACAATGCCTTGATACAGGATTCACCTGCTGCTGCTTATTGAGATAAGCCTTTATCCTACATTAAGCACCTTAGTACATGTAAGGATTAACAGTGGTAGGCCAAACTAGTTCAGCATGATCTAATTAATTGGCTGGACAAAATAGTAACTGTACATTTACTTACAAGATAATTAGCTTTTTTTAAGACAGGAATATTTTATCCTTTTCCGAACGTCTACTACTTCCACCACTATCATAATGGATGTGTGGTTATTAGGTGGAGATGTTAATTATGGCACCAAAAAGGTTAAGTTTAAATGTAAAGGGCTAAAACCACCAACAAAAAATTAGTAAGATGTATCCAAGTTTAATTACACATCTTAGAGATTAGTTCTAATGTTTTTGGATTAGTTCTAATGTTTTTGGATTAGAGGGTGGTATCTTTCACACTTTTTGGTGTGATTATAGCTCAAATCTGACATCTTATAGAAATGTAAAATCATGTTAAGACCTGTCATATTGTAACAACCTGGCTCCACACTAAACCCTGAAACATCCTGATGTAATTCAGTTTTTCAAATCCATTATGTTCACATCATTGTGTGACAATACAGTGAACACAAAACCACAGACAATGAACTGTTTTCCAATTTTTATTACAATTATCTGTACATCACGGATTTACTTCAGCTCCTTCACAGCCAGACCTGTGGAGACAAAGACGACAGGTTAGAGAAGCAGCAGAGACAGAGGAGGCACTTGTTATCTGCACCTGACACTCTAACTTTAGGTGTCATCTCTTTGATTTATGAAATGCGTCATGAGTACCCACTAATGAGAATCCCTTGTTAAAAAAGGAGAGAATTACCACAAACATTAGCTTTCACTGAACATCTGACAAACCCAACAAACTGGCTTCAGTCGTGTCGTTACTGTTGCAGGTTGTCGGATATACTTAAGTGAATCTAAATCTGTAGACAAGGAGGCTTACAATTTATTGTACAATTATTTTTGTCAAACCAACTCCACATTCAACCTAATCAATGCAGTTGCAGTCTTGTTATATATTCAAAACTTGGCGCATCTCCAAAGACGACAGATGTGACTGATTTATTTAAATGTTTGCTGAACTAGAACTTCATCAGAATAAGAATTTGAGTAACATTTGCTTCTTAAACTACAGTAAACATCAGTGTTAATGTAGTTAAAGCCTGCACACTCTTCTCACTCTCTTCATTGTTTAACTGTGATAATGTGTAAGCAGCCACCTACAGCATACAGATGGGAAAACGTCCGTCACAGGCTCATTCAGATTAACAGGATGAAAAACAGACAACTATTTAAATGCAAAAATCCATGAATCAGATAATCAATGAATATGAAACAGGACAACTGTAACTTTGAGTCAGTGCAAACATCGCCACTAGATGAGTCATATCAGGCTGCACACCGATTAACTTTTGTCTCCTTTGTTTACCGCGCGCTTCCATCGCCCTGAAGTCATTTTGAAATGGTGAAACTGCTCCTCTTTGTCAATGCACTTTATTGTTTGGCATACGTTGCGATGCTATGACACTACTCTCCTTACCATTAAGTCATTTTTACAGTTTGACTGCTGCTCATTCAGCCCCAAGACGTTCTGTTCTTCATTTTATAAACCGCTTTGGCAGCAGTGTCTGCAATTCTGCTTTAAATTGCACTGTTTGTCATTTTCCATGAGGACCTAATACCATCTCCCCCCTGTGGACTCGTCCTGTTTAAAACACCACATAACACAGCCCAGTTTTTATTGTAAACAACTTCAGTTTATACATTTGTTTCTACGCAAGATGCACCGCTTATGTTCCCGAGGCCCAATAAACAGGCTGGATCCATTTTCTCTATTGCTAAACATCTGCAATGCATCTTTATGAATGCTCTGAAAACTGCCTTGTTTACATCAGTTTGACTTATTTTATTATTAGCATATTGCTTTCTGTTGCGGTGCACTGCTACCACTGCAGTCAAACATGTATCACACCGTCCCTGTGCTTGTGGCATACATTCCTGTGCATATACTAGAAAAACATGATGATATCAGATCCACTCAAAGTAACATGCTCAAAGCCACTCATGGTTCAAAACCCCACATGGTACCTTTAATCAGACCCAAGAAAGATGTAAACTGATGTAAATGTTCAGGGTCAAGCGTACATGATTGAATTCCTTCATAATGTTGCAAACTAGAACTTTCCAGTCAGCTTGAGAAGCGAACACAGACTGAGACACTGCCCAGTTCCTGTTGGCGGTACTGACCTGGGGGCAGGGACTGCTTGAGCTTCTCAGCCTTTTCCTTGTCTGTGATGACCAGGGTGTACAGGTACCTGCTGCAGCGCACCTTGAACTTAACATTGTCCTTGTTCTTCTTGATCTTTACGGCTGAAGGAAGACAGACAAGCCAGGTCAGATTTCGCTCATCAACCGAAACATCTACTTGTATTCAAATCACAATTAAAACGTCACTAGGACCGAAACTCATTTGTACGCTTTCCAAAACAGGCTGCAGCAATGCTTAATTTATGTGTCCATAATTTCCTAAGAAGTTGCTGGGACACACTTGTTAAACTACCTCCAAGAAAACTATATTTAAACCCCCCAAAAATGACTAATTGTTCATTTACTGTTGGAAACTTTATATCCTAACTTGTGTGCCTGCCTGTAGACAGATTTCACAGTTTGCATATTCAGCATTAACCGAACATGAAATGTACTGTAAGAAATACAGACCACAACCACATACTTAAAAACTCAGATGTGGGCGCTGATGAATTGTAAATTATAGGTTGTTATAGCCAGAACAATGCAAGCACTTTGAACAGACTTTGTTTCCAGTGATGGATTTTTGTCTGTTCGATCTAAAGGAAAGCGCATCCCATTTACTTCTGCTTTCTGGAATAGAGCATGCCAAGATTTGACAACTTTAATTATAATCTGTGAAGGCTGGTGCATTGTGAAGGAATTCTGAGAATTTCTTTTGACTTTTCTGTAAAATTTAAAAGGCACCAGCTGTTTGTTTGATGTCTCCTGAAAACCTGTTTAAGGAGGGCGGTGTGGAAGATGTTTTTAAACAGTTTCTAAGCTGCAATTTAAATTGATTTCCAGTTTTAATGCTTGTGAAGACTTGAGTCAGTGTAATATTAATTTGTTTTCGTTGTAAAATCTTGGAAAAAAAAAAGAACAAAAAGGCCTACTGAAAATGAGAGCACTGACTTACAACTCAAGGTTACATTTGCAAATACTTGGATTAAGTCTGATATGATTTAACACTGGTTCTAGTTGCATAGTTTTTACTGAGAATCTCGAAATACTTAAAGCCCATAAAATGAAGATTTGTCCTCTGTTTACATGAATTAAGTTGCGTGTTCTTGTTAAATACATTGTAGTGGCAAAAATAAATTGGAAGTTGTTACCTGCACGTCCACTACACTATTGACAAAATGCTTCGACTTTAATTTAAGGCATCACTATCATTCACATTAACGTGCACAGGCAGGTGAGACAGGTAAGAGTTGCACTTACACTTGGCATCCTTCCTCCTGGCTGTCAGCAGGAAATCTTTGATTTCTTCAATCTTGCGAGGCTACAAATAAAGAACA